TAGCACATGGCCTTCTTGGTGTGGTGTGAGCTGTGGAAGGGCGGTCTTTCTTCCACTGTGTCCTGGGCATGCTCCTACTGCTCTGCTACAAAAAGAAAGAAGTCTGCCAGCAACATGGAATGAAGAGCAGTCCCTTTTCTCTTGTTCTTTAGCTTAGAATATGGAGAACTTTTGAAATGATAAAGAGGTAGATAGTTTAAAGGAAAAACACAGAAACCAAATTTTTCTAATGGAGGAATACATCCTTGTATAATGATAAAAGATAGTCTGTGAATCTATTTGAACATCCACCAAGATAGAGGAAAGGAATCTAAACCTGTGTGAGTACAATTTTATAAGTTTACTAATGCCTTTGACGCTTCAAAAAATGGCTCCATTTTTAAAATTGCCACTCCTTTCCAGGTCAAGGAAATCACTAAGAAACTAAAAAGAGAATTGATCCATTATTCTTCACTCTTCTAGAAGACTTGTTCAAAAATATATTTTAACCTGTAGAACAATTTAAGAGTCTCGGCTGGCACAGTGGTGAAGCACTCACATGTTAACTGAAAGGCTGGTGGTTGAATTCACACATTGTACCGTAGGAGAAAGACCTGGTGGTGCACTCAGGGAAAGTGTAAAGCCTAGAAAATCCTATGGGTCCGCTCTCCTCTGACACGCTGGATTACTATGAGTCTGAAGTCATCTTGATGACACCTCCCCACAAGAGTCGAATGAATACGAAGCACTTCATTTTAGACATCTAAGAGCATCCAATATCGTCCTTCTAGATCTGCGCTTCTCCCGTGTTGGAGGGCAAGGCTGACCGTGGAACGAACTATGAACTAGAACCCCACTCTGCTGCCTCCGGGGAATGTTCTGCTTTTTCATTGTGCTGCTTGTCTTGTTTGACACAACTTAACAATTCTGCAGCCTTTGTCAGATTTACCCAGAAAGTTCCAATTTAGTCAACTTCGGCAGGGTCTCTCTAATACTTCAGTGTACTAAAAGAAATGAAGGATTGCTATCAGATATGTAATCACAACAACCTATTTGTCTTTGAAAGAGAATATGTATATTTCTGATCTAGCTTGCAAGATAAATCTCCAAAGGCCAGCTGTTTCAAGCTGTAGGCAGCACAGTGTAAAAAGCCACGATGGCTGCTATAATTTAATTGGAAAGCAAGGGGTAATAAGAAATCACAAAGCTGAATTTTTTAAAGGCAGTGTCGGTGTTACCATACAAAACATGCTCACAAGCTTCTACAATTCATCTCATATGACCTTTGGGGTGATGTACTTGAGAATTTGAAGCAATTTGAAAGCAACAAAAATAGGCACTTCCTGAATAAAACATGTACTTTAAACTTTTAAAGTAATAAATAATACAAAATATTAATATATACCATCCTAGTAAGGCAGTGCAATCACAGATCACTTACAATCCACAACTTGTTCTTTGAAACAGGGAGTTGCGTGATTTGGTAGCTATGCAAACATGCCTAAATCATGAGCAAGAACATTCACTAATTTTCTACCTCTGTGTTGTTCCACCTGTTTTATTTCATTTCCAGATTGATGGTTATCCTTAGTCTCTTGCTGCTGTTATCATTAGCAATGGTTTGGCTGTGTTTGGGAGCCATGACACACTTAACAGTATTATTTTTGGAAGAAAATTAAACAGAGAGACAATAATACAACACTCCAAAGATACATGATGTACAAGAGATTGGATGCTGCTGACTCCAGGTGTAAGCATGCACTGTTTTGTTCACATTAAAATGATAAGAGAACATTCAGTACAGTATACATGTGAACGAGTAGCACAGGCATTTAATATGATATTATATATAGACTGTACCATTATAGCCTCCCAGTGCAATTGATCTATAAAAAAGGGTGTAGGATACATGTGTTGTGTGGGAAGCTGTTGCATTCTCTATGTGCTGTCACACCTGATACGTTCCATTCTCCAACTAGGATTTGTGGACTTTATTATGGGGCTGCAGACATGAGGTTGGAATGAGGATTATGTGGTTCACAACTGGCATGCGGTTTCCTCTTTGGAGTCATACAATCTTGGATTCAAAACTGCTGTATTACTTATGAGGGTGAATTTGAGTGCGCTGTTTAACCTCTCTGAGCTTCAGTTTCCTTAAGGGCAGAATGGGGTTTGAGATTCCTATATTGTCTTTGATTATAAGAGTTAAATTTAATACTATAAGTGACATGGCTTATTGGCTATACTTGAAAGCATCTCAGAGACTGGAGGTGCTAAGCTCACGGTATTTACGTGAAATACTGATGATTCCTAGTCATTCATTGTTTCCCACACTGCTGGCTTTCTTTTTGTAGAATGGACTTTACAAAAATACACGATAGATTTATGTTCAAAAACTGCACTTTACTTAAATGAAGTACTAGGGGTTTTTCTTTTTGGAATATCTAAATGACCTTGTTTCTTCCCCCCCATGAATCAGTTCACAATAGCAAAGAGATTAATAATCATCTTGAGCTCATCAATTCACATACATAGGCAGTAAGGAAGTATAAGGGTTAGTTTAAATAACAATGCTTATCAGAAGACAAAACAAGTACTGATGGTGAAATATTTTCTTAATCCTGTCAAATTGGGGAAAGTAAAGTATTTATGTTGCTTGCAGAGACTACTGAAATCCTACTTTTGAATAGGAGAAACCATAGTTGGAAAAACTAACTTTAAAGGAGTAGTTCTGTCACATTTCTTCTCACTTGGGAAACAACTTTTTTATTAGAACTAAAAAGAGCCTAGTGTTTTGATGTAGGATGCTGGGTTTGCATTCCCTATTGAGTGCAATAAATATCCATGGTGGTCCAGTGGGTTAAGCCTTGGTCTCCTAGCTGCAAGATGGGGCCACAAGAGTCTCCACCAGAGAATGACATAGCATTCTGACCCCATATAGTCTAGCAATTAGCAGCCTAACTCTTAATCCACTGTGCCATTGAAGATATAGGTGCTATAGCAAAGTGTGGTTAAGAAATCAGATGGTTATCAGAAAGTATTGTGTCTAGGGCCTAAAAAGCCTGTCTTAAAGCAAGTAGCCAACTAAGTGAGGAGTCAGTTAAGTCCACATGAACTTAACTTGGGAGACCCAAAGATTGCAATTAATAAAATACAATACAGGAAAAAGGAAGAGTATTGGAACTTAAATTCTGAGCACCCACTTTGAGCAAGGCAATGTGTGACAGTGAAATCTCAAGTCCACGCAATGGTTCTCAACCTTCCTAATGATGTGACCCTTTAACACAGTTCCTCATGTTGTGGTGACCCCCTCAACCATAAAATTATTTCCATTGCTACTTCATGACTGTAATTTTGCTACTGTTATGAATCAGGCGGCCCCTGTGAAAGGGTCGTTTGACCCCTCCAAAGGGGTCACGACCCACAGGTTGAGAACAGCTGACTTACAGGATCCCTACATGGAATTCCCTCTGACCACTGACCAGGGATGTGAATAGCCTTGCTAGCAGATAGAATGCACTGGAAGATAGATTACTGCAGATATAGTTAGGTTAAAATTGAACACTGTTATTTTTCTCTTTTGAATCATTTTAAATTTGTGCTAGTTTTTATTATTTCTGCTTTCTTTTGAATTGAGGTTTTTTCCTCTGTTTTATTTTTTAATTGCTGTTAGGGTTTTTAACAGGTTTTTCTTTATATGAAATCCAGGATAGGTAAATCTATAGAGACAGTAACTGGAGGATTCATAGTTTCTTAGGTTTATGGCAGGGGAGTTGGGGGAAAATGGAGAACTAATAATAATGAGTACAAAAATTTTTTAAATGTTCTAAAATTGTTTGTGATAATGATTACACAGCTCTTTTTATTATGGTTAAGTCACAAATTGTCTGCTATGTGAATTATATATCAATAAAACTGCTAAAATAAATTGAAAAATATGTACAGTCTTGGGAGCCTTCTGGATCAGTTTAGCTCTTTGCAATAGGTCCGGGAAAAATTAGGGTCAACTTGATAGCAGTGGGTTTATTGACTATAATCAAAAGCAAATTGCAGATTTAAACCTTATCAATCTGTTGTTGATGGGTGCTGTTAAGCCAATTTCTACCCATATGGAGACCGTGGGGCAGAACAGAAGTGTCATGTAGTTTTAAGGCTGGATCTTTCCAGAAAGAAAATATCACATCATTCTCCTGCAGAGAAGTTGGTGGGTGGCTGAACACTTAACCCATAGTGGCAAATTGAGTTCTTTGCTACTCTGATACACACACACACACACACACACACACAGCCTATTCAGTGCTGCCTACCTGATAGTTTTAGCTTGAGGATGAAATGAGATAATGTTTTTAAAGGTAGAATTCTATAGAAAAATCAGGGATGTAATGGTTAGACCGACCTGGGTTTGATGGTAACTATAAGCTGCATCACTTGAGCAAATTCCATAAATTTTCTGAACCTCAATCTCTCCCTCTGCACATTAAAATAATAATAATGCCCAAGTGACAAAATGTAATGAGGATTTAATGATATGTATGACAAGCTTCCAAAAGAAAGCCCTGTCTGATACTTTTTATTAGCACCTCAGTGCTTTGTGCACAGGGTAAGAAATAATATTTGTTGGTCTCCTCATTATAGTCTTTAAATCTATTTCACATAGTATTTAAATGTATTGGGTTAAAATATAAAATTACCTAAATTTCAAATCAAAGAGCATTAGAATAAGACCTGCCTAGAGAATAGAGTACACTGCAAGCATTACTAATAGTGTTATTATCATGGAAATATGTTATTAACAGGCAGTCAGGGAGTGGAGAACATAAATCAACATATATCAATGTTTTGCTTCTTTTTAATAAGAAATATTAAAGCTTGAAAAACATATTCAAATTAAAGTAGTGAATTTTGTCCTCTCTTGGGGCTTATCTTGGTTTCTCAAGTTATGTGCAATACTCTGTCAACATTCATATAACAATTGAAATCTTAAAACATTGAATAAATAGCAGAGGGATATAGAAACAGACCTCCTTCCGCTGAGCAGATGACCACGATTTGACTAAAAGGACCATCCCCTTTGTTGTTATAAACGCCAACCTTCACTTCAAAGGGAGTAAGGGGAGGGACGCTTTCATCTCGATAAATGAATTTGGAAGCTTCCGAAGAGGTCACCATTTTCTCCTTCCAGCCACGGGTTCCATTGGGTCTGAAAGCCACAATATAGCCAAAGCCTTCCCCGTTCTGAAACTCCTCAGATACTGGCTGAAGAAGGAAAGCAGTTCATTATCAACAATAAGGCATGCAGGGAAAAACAAAATGAAACGAAAAAAACAATAACTTCAAATCCTTAAACTTTGTTTTCTTATAAAATCTGAAAACAGAGATTTTCATATATCAATACTATTTTGGAAACCAACAAGCAACTCATGTTGGCAGCCTTTGGAGCCTAAAAGCTTTGAAGACAAAAGAAATATTAAATAAGATCTGTTGGCATTTAAGAGGGTTGTCAAGAGTTTTGAAACTCTTGAAGTGAAACCAATTTGCTCCAATTAGTCATGTATATGAAATGAAGGTCCTGGGATTCCACACTAGAATTTCACATCGTGAGCAAGCTGTCATATGGTCTGGTGGTGGAGAAAAATCTTGTCCCTGGAACACTCTGATGAGTCCTTTGCACAGCAAATATGAGATAATAATATGAGACCATTTCTCCTTGTTTCTTACCTTAGAAATTTTAAAATAGAGTTTTGTGCTTTCCTCATATAAGGAACGAAAGTTGGCTGCGGTATTTGTTCTAGAAACCTTTTACATTGTATATTTTGTATGTTGAAAACTCAGTGGCAACCCAGGGTGGGTTTACATGGAAATTGCTAAGTTTGAGGTAGAAAATGACTACAAAAATAGCAACAGCACCACTGAACGGAAATATGTGGACTACAGACTGAGGGCACCTAAGAGAGTAGAAATCAAATATACATCCCAGAAAAAAGTGACTGTGATTGAATCGAGTTAGTCAGGAATTAACAAAGATGAGGGACTGCCTAGCACAGCTCTTAACTTCTAATCATAAATAATTATTTCAGAAAGAAGTGTGCACTGTGTAGAGGAAGGTAAACAAAAATCATTATATCAATGCTTATATCAAAGTAAAACAAAACCAAAGAAAGATACCCGCCCCCCCAAACTCAAACCTACTGCCATTGCGTTGATTCTGACTCACAGTGATCCTACAGGGCACAACAGAATTTCTCTCTAGCATTCGTGAGACTGTACATCATTCTTGAGCAGACAATCTCATTTTTCTCCTATTCTGTGGCTGCTGAGTTTGAACTACTGACCTTAAGTTTAATAGCCCAGGGCATAAACTACTACACCATCAGGACTCCTTATCAAAGTTTATAGAGAGGGGCAATTTTACTCGATAAGAACTGATCTCAGTGAAGATCAGGTATTATTATTAAGTTCATATTTTTATAGCTGTGAAAACTAACAATAAAACGAAGACATGAAGTTTTACTGAGGAAGAAGAAGGGAGGTAGCAGAAGAACCAGGCAGGGGATGTGATGATGGAAGATTTCTTACTGGGAAACATTTTTTGCCCCCAAAATATTTGATCATGTTGCTTAGAGATGGTCAGGGATATTTTCAGTTTTCTCAAAGTTCTTTTTATTTCTGTGAGTGACATTCAAACAACACAGCAAGCACATAACAAAACAAATCAGCTGCATTGGGTTGATTCTTGCTGACCCCGTAAGTCAGAGTAAAACTCTGGTCTGCAGTATATTCAATGGGTGATTTGGGGAGGTAGATTGTCAAGTTCCTCTATGCAGGTGTCTGTGGGGGGACTGGAACACTTAGAGTAGACCTTTCAGTTAGCAACCAAGAGTATTAAACACTTGCACCAACCAGGGACTTCTGTGAGCTCCATGTGTGTTATAGCTGAAAGTTCCGTTATTTAAATGCAACGGTATCTTTATGATAAATGCCTGTATGCCTCATACTCCTCTTCCACGCTCTTTTCCCTTGACAGAAGAAATGTTGGAGACCAAATGGTGAAATAACTGAAAGTTTGCAACTTTTGTATGCAAAGTCTGAACTCTACTGCTTATTAGGCAAGGCACTTAAACTGTCCTCAGTTCTGCAATTTTTAAAATGAGTCATATTTTCTTTGTGATTGTCCAGGACTTTACCTGCCATGCAAAAACCAAACCTATTGCTTTGGACTCTTTCTGATCCCTAGTGAGCCCATGTGTTACAGAGAAGCACTTCTCTGCAGGGGTCTCCTGCTGGAATCTCTGTGGAAGCAGATCTCCAGTGGGCGATTCAACTCTCCAACCTCGAGGTTAGGAGTCGATGCCGACTCATAATGAGCCTCTAGGAAGAACTGCCCCTGTGGATTTCTGAGAAAGTAACTCTTTACAGGAGTAGAAAGCCTCTTCTTTCTCCAGTAGAGCAGCTCGTGGCTTCAAACTGCTAACCTTGCGGTTCACAGCCCAATATGCAACCACGATGCTACCAGGGCTCCTCGCTAGCTTATGTGCAAACTGTTGGAGCTACCCAGGGTCCTCTCTCTTTCAGCGGTGGCTAATTCTTAGTCTACAAATAAGTCAAGAATGCTACTTAATCAGGAAACATTCAAATTGCAAATTAAGACAAACAAACACACGAGGTAATCTGTGAGAGGACATGTTTTAATTATTGAAAGCTAATTCTGATCAGACAGCAACTGTTAGACTTAAGGAAAAGTCTACTGGGACCACTATGGAAATGAAAAAGGCCGATTTGATAATACTCATCTGAGGGTAGTCTGCTCAGAGTGTTTCTTAACCTCATTGAAACAGAAATGATCTGGCCACTCTGTAGCAGGTACAGAGGGTTTATGTGCAGCCTTATGCCCTCAGAGCTCAACAATGTCTGATATCCAAGTAAAGGCTTTCTTACCTCCCAGGCAATGACTAACTCGTGCCTTCTTCCACTTCTTCCACTCACATTGGTGGGTGCTGTCTTTGGAACTGGGGATAGAAATCAGTTGAGAATCAGGAGGATAGATCCATATGTGGTTTGATTGCCCATACAATCAGAACAGATCACGACCCTGCGCGGGTTGGGTAAAACCCAATCAAAAGTTTGTTGGCAATTAGAGTCATGGCGTTAACTGTGAAAACAAAGAGACTTACTGTTTTAAGAGAAACCGTGCTCTCTGTGGGCCATTTGGATACATGTTTCTTTCATGGCCCTGTAGACCCTACCCCCGATGAGGTATGTTGTAAATGCTCCACGGTAGCAATTTCTATGTTATAATAAATGCTATATGTAAGGACATTTAGTACTGTTTGGTTAATTTTATCCTCCAAATTGCTTCATAAAGATTTGAGCATTTTCTGCATCCCAGGCTTGTGGGACCCCAGACAAGTTCACAGGGTGATGCTCACATTTCTGCTCCACCAGAATTTGCAGAGCTTCAGTTTAAAAAAACGTTCCCAATAGTTCTATGGAGTGAAAGCCTACTTAAATGAAAAGATCCCGCCCCCCGCAAAATGTCAAAAATGACTCTCTCTACAAACTTCAAAAATATATGCACCCAGTGCATTTTTTTTTCAAATGAATAACTATTAAAAGAATAAATGTGTCAAAGAAATAAATTTCCCCTTCATTGCATCCAACCACAAAATCTTCAGTTGAAAGGGAACATTTTCAAATGAAGAACTGTTAAATGAAGAAAACTATTAAAAGAAATCATTTTCCAGGCTATGAGCCTGCATTAGCAATTTTACACTTCAAGATTGCTTTTATACCACAGCATATCGTTTTAACCGATATTGATATACTCAGAATCAACAAATTCACTCTGACATATTACCTGCTTGGATGAAAAGTTACTAATTACTGGTTGGCATTCACAGAGCATTTCAGATACCAGAGAAACTGATGCAGCTCTAAGTATTATCACAAAAGAGAGAGAAAAAAATCTACTTGGGAAAGAAAAATACAAAACTTCTATTGGCCCTATCGAAATCCATAAACGCCTCACTGCCATCGAACTGATTCCGACTCACCCGAGTCCAGCTGCCAGTGTCCTTGGTCACTGCCCACGTGAATGTGAGTTCTTTCCTTGCTCACGCATGTGTGGAAGAAATATCACAGGCGTGGCTACCTATCTTCCAATTACAATCTTACTCACATGTTTGAGGATATTTATGTGTGAAATTTACTCCCATGGGCTCCCGGAGGATGACATGAATCTGGACTACTTCTGTTCTACTTTGTAATAAGTCACCCTGAGTCAGAATCTACTCAATTTCAATATATAGTTTTCTTTTCTCAGTCAAAAAGTTATGGAATTTACCTGTGGGAAAATGGTGGTCATTTGCTGAGTTCTTTATTCGTAGTCTTGCTTATTGCTACTTAACGTATACCAACATGCAACAGACGGAGTGTTTTGCTAACATGTCTGATTACCACTGCTACAGAGTCATTGCTTGTTGCTGGGTGCCGTCGAGGCAGGTCTGACTTATAGTGACGCTTTGTACAGAACACTGCCCGTCCTGCACCAGCCTGACAATTGTTGTTCTATTTGAGCCCATCGTTGTATCCAAATGACAGACTTCGCTCCTTAAGGGTGTTCCCGCCTTCACTGAAACTGTCCTTCATCCAACATAATGTCCTTTCCAGGCATTGATCTCTCCTAATAATATGTCCAAAGATCAGAGACAGTCTCTGGATCCGCACTTCTAAGGAGCATTCTGGCTATACATCTTCCAGAGCTGATCATTCTTATGCCAATCTATGGTACCTACAAGATTCTCCAACACTGTCGTTCAAGTGCGTCAGTTCTTCTACGGTATTCCTTCTTCATTTTCTAGCATTTGCATGCATATGAAATGATTGTAAATACCACGGCTTAGAACAAGGGCACCTTAGTTATTTTGTTTTGTTTTCATCATTTTATTAGGAACTCTTACAGATATCATAACATTCCATAGTTCAATCACACTAAGCAGGATTGTACAATTGCTACCAAAATTGCACCTTAATTCTTTTAGGGATATTCTTTCTCCTCGGCACTTTAAAGGGGTCGGTGCAGAAGATTTGCACAATGCAATCTATCATTTAGTTTCCTGACTGCTGCTTCCATGGGCAAATGAAATCCTTGACAACTTCAGTCTGTTCTCTGTTGATCAAGATGTTGTCTATTGGTCTAGTTGTAAGGATTTTGGATTTCTTTACACTGAGTTGCAATTCATACCAAAGACTGTAGGCTCAGATTTTTATCAGCAAGTGCTTCAAGTCTTCCTCCCCCAACAAGCAAAGTTTTACGATTTGCATATAAAAGTTGTACGCAATATAACCTTGCATATAATCAGAACAAAATGACTTGTTCTGAAACTGATGATACATTCTTCTTTATATAATCCAGTTTCTCATATTATTTGCTTATCATAAAAACCTTAAAATAAATATGGTGGAAGGATACAACCCTGATGCATATGATGGTAATGTTTTGTATTAGAAGAGCACCAAATTCGTGCTAAGGAGTTGGAGATTAAAGATGTCCCCAATATCTAACTTGTTCACGATGTTATTCCTCTATTTTCCCAGTACTTATCCTTTGAGGACATTCCCTAAATGCCCCTGGATTCTGTAATTTGCTGCAACTTCCCAAAAATTAAGGAAATGTCTCATGTGGTTGCAAGTACTGTTCAATGCAAACTCTGGAGGTCAGGTGGAGGAGAGCCAACACGAAATGCAGGGCGAGAAGCTGAAAATGTCCAAAAGTCAAAAAGCAGGTCTTACTCTACCAATGCTCAGTTAGGAAATAGCAGAATGGCTTTGATGCAGGTTTGTTTTTTATCTTTTACTAGACCATGCCCCCAAGGAAACAAAGATAGTGTCTTAAGTCCTACCCTCTAGCGAAGTGGACGCTAATGATGCCCCAAGGAAACAAAGGTTATGAATTGGTTCACACTCTCTACTAAACTCAGGTCTTAATAACACCATAACCCTGTCTAGTTAAGTAGAGAAAACTCTTCAAAATAGGCCTATAACCACAGACCTAAAGACTATAATGTTTGATACATCACATAAGAAATTATGGGTAGAAACTCCAAACCACAAACTCACTGCCAGAGGGTTGATTCCAGCCAATAGTGACCTTAGAGGGAAGAGTAGAACTGTGCCTGTAGGTTTGTGAAGCTGGAATACTTTATGGGATTACAAACCCTCATTGAAGTCACTGATGCTTTTGAACTACTGACTGTTGTTAGCAGCCCAATGGGTAACTACTATGTGACCAGGGCTCCTTTTAGAGCTTGAAGGGCTATATTAATTGACTAAACCTCGTATACTTTTCTTACGTTTAAATCATGTAATACACCCTTTTTCTGTTCATCGGACTGCTTCTTGGTCTACGTACAGGTTCCATCAGAACAAAATTAATTGTTTTGGAATTTCCAGTATATTCAATGTTATCCATAGTTTGTTATGATCCATACAGTTGAATGCTTATGCAATGTTAATAAAACACAAGTAAATAAGTTTTTTTGGTATTCTCTGTTTTCAGCCCCAATTTTTCTGATACCAGCAATAATATCCCGTGTGTACATCCTCTTTTGAATACAGTTTGAAAATCTGGTAGCTCCCTGTTGTACTGTTTTAAATTATATTCAATAAATTTTGCTTCTATGTGGTGGTAATTACATTATTTAATAATTTTCACAGTCTATTGGCTTACCTCTCTAAGAGGCATAAATATGGATCTATTCTAGTAGGTTGGCCAGGTAGTTGCCTTCTAAATTTCGTGGCACAGATAAATGAGTACTTCTGGTGCTTCATCAGCTTGTTGTCACATTGCAATTGGTACTCTGTTAATTCCTGAAGCCCTCATGCCCATTAAGGCTCTGAGTCCAGCTTGGACTCCTTTCTTCAGTATCATTGGTTCTTGATCAACTGTTTTTGATTTGATTGAAAATTGAACAATTTTTTTTGGTACAGTGACTATACTTTTAAATTCCTCACCTCCTCTTTGGATGCTTTTTGCAACTTTCAGTGTTTCTCCCATGTTGTTTTTATTATCGGGCCCTGCTGAGTTGTTCCTACTCACAGTGAGCCTGTGTGGAACAGAACCAAGACTGCCTGGTCTCGCGCCAGGCTCACCATTATTAGGTTTGAGTCCACCCTTGTAGGCACTGTGTTAAGACATTTTATCAAAGGTGTTCTTCTTCTCCTTTCTCCTCCTGTCCTGCTACTTCACCGAGCATTATGGCCTTCATGAGGGATTGCTCTCCTCTAATAACATGTCCAAAGTACGTGAGATGGAGTCTCATTTGCTTGTTCCTAAGGGCTTTCTGGTTGTATTTCTTCCAAGAAGGATCTGTTTGTTCTTTTAGCAGTCCACAAGTGTACTTTCAATATTCGTCACAGTAATCCAAGTGCATCAATACTGCTAAGGAAACTCCATGCAAATGAAAACAAACAAACACACCAAAACCAAACCCAACACATGGCCCTGTCCTGTGCTCTCCCCATGACTGGTTGCAGATTGAACTACTGTGATCCACAGGGTTCTCATTCGCTGATTTTTTTGGAAGCAGATTCCTAGATCTTTCTTTCAAGTTCATTTTACTCTTGAAGCTCTGCTGAAATCTGTTCAGTGGGATAGCTATATGTAAGCCTTCACAGACAGGTGTTAGCTGAACTTGAGGTATCTAAACAAACCTACTGCCATAGAGTCAGTCCTGACTGTGGTAGCTACATAATCTCCTATCAACTTGCAAAGGGGTGGAGTCTAGCCTGTCAATCAGGTCACAGCCAATGAGGCCTCTGTGTGGGCCTGACTTTCTCCTGAGGTTTCTGGGAACTCCTGTATTCCTCCTGGGAGGTGGGAGACACTCTCTGCTTGTCTTCTAGCTGACAGCCACATGGAGCTATACTGATGCAGCCAGAGTCCTGGAACTAGAGGAGTCACATGGAGACCCACACCAGAGCTGAGATGCTTCCACTGCCACTGGATCCA